GGGCGCCCCCTGCCACTGCCGCGATCACGGCTGTGACAATGATCGCCGATTTTAGCGTTTGCAATGCGTCCCTCTCAGCTTTTGCGTTTTCCTTTTTCTCAATCTCTTCTTGTACCTTTTGTTCCCCAACAAAAATAAAATAAAATAAATTAGAAATATAAAGTTATAGTTATATGCATAGTGCACATATGCTTTTGTTTTTTAAAAACAGTAGGCATTTTAAAATTTAAAAGTTTTTTCTAACATTAACCATTTTTTTAAAAAAAATCGTACATTTGGCCATTCTCGTAAAATTTTGGAACTGTCTCAATAATATATTAATTTAATTTAATTTAACAAAAAATAATATATTAATTTAAAGATATAGAATAATAAATTTACAAATAACGACACCCATAAAAAAAATACAATAATTCAGATTTTTGTTGAAATATTTGATTACGAGTTTTTGTTAATATCAATCTCTAAGATATGATAGAAAATGTTTAATAGTTTTTAATAAATAACAAAAATCAAGAATAGAATGATGATATCGAACCATTCTCGATTTAAAACCAGAATTGGATTATATCATTTCTGGCTCAGGATTGACGGAAACATCAACAAAAATACTATATTCGATGGTTAGCTAAAAAAAATACATTTTACAGATTTTAAATATTTCTATAATGATAAATACTAAACAAAAAATTCTTAAATACAGTTAAAATGATAACAGTTTACCTTATTAGAAACAATTTCTGATGAAACAGGATCGACTTGGAAACTTTTGTTGTGACCAGGATTTAGTTCAGCATGAACATCAGCCTCTGGAAATGATGTATCTGTTTCCATTCCTGTATATATTTATATGCTTTTTTAGTAATCAATACTTAGAATTTCAAAATCTTGTACAGTAAAATACTAAATTGCATAACGAGTGAAAAGTAAAAAGAGAATAAATATGAAAAGTGGAATGAACGAAAAAGAAAGATTCTAAAAATAGTGTGGAGGTTAGTTATGTTTTCATGAATCTTTAACCATTAGTTGTCTTTTCAATGCTTTGTCCTTAAATTTTTGTCCGAGAAATTTGGTAACTCCACAAAAAATTAATATATTGGATATGGTTGAAAAAGTAATTTAAACAATTTGAGTGAAAATTATATACACCTCTGTTTCTTTATTAGTATAAAAATCATATAATATATAAACAATATCAGATGAAGTTTACTGGGCCACAAAAGAGGACGGAGAAAACTGAAAGCCCAACATCGTAAAGAGTCAAACTAGTTATGGTCCAACGTGGTCCAGTTCTTTTGTATGCTGTTTTTTTTTTGTTACTTTTTTTTTTATGTTGTTCGTATGTCGGTGGGAAAATTGTCCGAATTTCAGGTATTCATCCATTCTATTATTTGAAAGTTGGATAACTGAAAATCGGATAGATAGATATCGGATTTTAACATGTTTACAACGAGATAATATGTTTTAGTATAGGATTTTAATATGTGTGGGTACCGAATGATAAGAAAATAACCATTATACCCTTGATTTGTCAAGAAACTACAAAAATATTTTAATTTTCATCCCCTCTTTCTACCGTTCAACATTTTTGTTGACTTTCTTAAGTGTCTAATAGAATAGCTTTCATGCTCTGAACCAACCCTTGCATTTGATCTCTTGAGTGCAACGGCGACGGATACACACACATGCAGTCCAAACAACCGTCTCTCATGGTGTCGAAAACTGCGATTGACGGTCCGACCCCGTGAACCGACGAGCACCCGAGGTAGTCCTCGACCCCTTTGTCCCGTAAGACTTGCCCTGTGGATGCATCAAACACGGGATCTTCGAATACCGAGATGAGAGCGGTCCTGAGCGACGACGAAGGCGTGAGGCGAGGGTTTTCAATGGCTTTGCACATCAAGAAGTTGAGATCCGGCATGTCGGTGAAATGCTTGTCCGAGTTCTTCAACGTAGTGAACGAGCTGTTGAGTCTCTCGGCTAAGTCCCATAGGGTTTCTTCTTCGGTTAGGTCGTGAGTGTGAAGTATCCCGGAGTGGTAGAACCCTGAAAAACGTAACATATCAGGAATCGAACACATATGGTCACGACGACTTATTTGTTCAATAACCGAATCAAACTGAACCAAATAATACGTAATTGTAACCGAACCAATTCTGATATAAAAACCAATGATTATATCATTTTTTTAAAATCGAAAAACCGACTCCAAACCGAACTAAACCGAATAAAAAATAACCGAAAAATAGGAAATTATTCAGAAAAAATTAGTGTTTTTATCAATAACAACCAAAATAGAACTTGACCAAATTCAATATAAAAATCGAGGGGTTATCATTTTTCTAAAACCAAAATAGTACTCGAACCAAAACCTGAATAAACTAAACCCCGAGATTAATAAATCGAAAAAATGAAACAGCAAATCCAAATCTAAATCTAAATAAAGCTTATGAAAAAAAAGGTTGGTCCGAGAAAGTGTCAATGCTAAACAAGTAGGCGAAAATCCCGAAGATACCCGAGAGATCGCAAAAGAACAGTCATGGTCCATTCTATAGCCATGGAAAATATGTTTCGAGTGGAATAACCATATCAATACTGATTCTACTGGCTTGCAGATTCGAAATAGCTACAACCAAGAACTATGGTTAATGCAATTTTCCATCGATCTTTCGGGGTTTTATAGGACGGAACAGGACTCACCGAAATCCTTACTAATGAGAGGAGGTTCGAGAATGGGGCGACAATCCATCAATGTCACGACGGCGTACTTCTCCCGTTGTTTTTCTGGCAGATTCTTCGACGAATGAGCAGATATCATCCCCGCCGCCGCTATGGCCGCCCACAGCTTCATCCCTCTTCCGTCGCATTCATGCAACAAAAGAGACTTTATGTTC